ATAAGCATCTGTGTTTTCTCGTACTATTAAGCCGATTTGGATTTTAAAACTCAGAATAACCTCTATGGGAAAATGCATGCAGTGGGTCTGCAGTTTGTCCCAGACCAGACTGAATGGATCTGGGTGACTTTTTGTCTCAGAAGTTTTTAGGGGGTTATAACTTTCATGAGTTGTATTGGAGCTCCTTTGTGCTTGCTACTGCAACATCTACAGCTTCTGGGCTTCTGTCGAGAGGGAGGGTTGGTCTCTTTAGTTGTGGGTATGCTATTCTAGTCTATACAGCTCTCCTACCCTCTCCATAATGTATGAGATTCTTATGTTTCCTCTTGATTCCATTTATCTTTCTCTCCACCCCTTGCAATATGGTGCATAACAGTTATGCTTTAGTTCAGCAAAACGATCCTTGAAACATTGGGTGAAAAATGATTGCTTTAGAGTAACAATTTTTTCGCCCATTAATTAAAATAGCAATATAAAATCAATTTAGTTTTCAAGATAGAATCATCTGTATCTTGCCTGCCCACTCCAAGTTCAACTAGAACAGCTCTGTGTCAGCAGGTTTTATAGGAAGATGGGAGAAGGGATCTCCTCTCTTTCGCTTTTTCTCCAGGCAGTAGATGATGATCTGTGTGACAATTGTTGAGGCCCTGAGGCTGATATTGCTTCTTCATGCCTCCGCTTCCTGATGTGTTGAGACGCACAGTAAATCTTCCTGAAGCTAGGAAGGCTCCATGTATAAACAGTGAATAGTAGAAAATGATGTAGGTGCCTTTCTCCCTTCCATAAAGCAATGGCTTCTAGTGTCTCCGAGACTTTTCACAGCCATAAAGGGAAGGCTCAGGGTTTATGTTAAGATGTATACACTTCCAAAAAGCACACTTTAATGTGCTTTCCTTTTTCCAAGGTGTTTGCAAGAAAGCCAGTCTGAATAATTCAGGTTGAAGTAGGTAGTGAATTGCAAATGAAAATAGAGATAAACTGTAAGAATTTCTTTAAATCAGGATTTTCAGCTTTTGGTCTGTGAGCTATCCTTAGCAGCCCATGAAAGTAAGAAAACCAAGCATATTGTCAGTGTGCTTACACTTTCTACGTAGATGTCTCCATCTTGATTAGAGTATTTTTAGGGCAAAAAATAAAAACTATAATTGAAAATGCTGTGGAGGTAATAACATTTCTTTGGGTAGTGTTTTACTGCTCTTTTCCTGTTGCTTTTAGAATTTTCATGGGTGTATGAAAGTTACAATGTTAAATTAGTATGCAAACATTATTATTAAAGTAAAGGAGAAGTCCAGAGAAGCTAGCCTCCCTTTGGATGAGGGATGATGATTCCCTTTTTCAGTAGGGCTCAATGGTAAGCATTGGAGTGCTAAGCAAGGTAAGTGTTCTCTCCTTTGAGATTAGAACTTCTCAAAACGTCACACAAGTAGAGAAAAGGAGGCAGACCACAACCAATAAACTCTAAAAGACAAAACAAGTACCTAAAAATACATATTAGAGACATAAGAAAAATGCTAAGTAGGATATTAAGAGACTCAAAGGAAGAAGCATAAATTATTTATTTATCAGACTATGGCAATGGAAAGGAAAAATGGTATTGATATGATGTAAGGGTATACTATACCTACACTTTTGAGGATCAACAAAACTGCACCAACCCCCACCACCTGGCCATGTGTCAGGTCTGCTGTATCTAAAAATATTTGATTGTATCCAGTTTAAATTGACGTTGACAGTTAATGCTAGCAATCTTAGTTTTTCACTAGGCCAGATTTTTTTGTGGGGTGGGGTGGAGGGCGGGGGGGAAGAATTGTATCAGTCTAGAAGACAGTTGCTTTTGCTCAGGATCTGCCATGAGCCAGCAGAAGGAAAATGATCTTCAGCTTGGATCTCACATGAGATCCTCTTTGAAGGAGCTACAGAACTTTTTCAGGAAACTAGAAATACACAAGGATGGATTTCTTAGAGTGCGTTATGAGTGATGTTGTTTGGCCAGAGGATGCAGCCACTGGAATTAGGATAAGCAATTGCATTGTCGCCGATCACCATGAAATATGTTTTTTATTGATCAATGCATTGAAGTTGAGATGGCAGAATAGTTGCACCAGTTTTTTTTGCGGAACAAGCTGTGGGTCATCTCTTGAGTGCTGGATGGCAACCGAAAAGGAGGGTAGATTTGGATACTCATGATAAAATGTTAAAATTTGAAAATGCAAATCAGCAAGTTAATCTGGTTCCTTTAAATCTGTGCATCTTAGTGCTGAATTCTGGAAGCTTTAAGAGGTTTTCATGGCTCAAGAAGTTGGATCAGGCTTTTGCCTCTAGAATTAAAAATATTCATGTTATTTTATGAGTTATGTGATCCTGAAGTAGAAAAGGGTTGCTAGAATGTGATTTTGTATCTATGTCTTCCTAAATAGTTAAAACCTACATTTTCTCATTGAAGTAGGTACCCTTGCTTTGCTTTATGCATAGCTGAATTGTTTGTACATGGCAAAAAGTGCCAGTGCATATAGCTGAGCTGTTTGTACATGGCAAAAAGCGGTAATGTTTTATGACAGTGTCCTGGTTTTGGCTGGGATAGTTAATTTTCTTCCTAGTAGCTGATGTAGCGCTGTGTTTTGGATTTAGTATGAGAATAATGCTGATAACACACTGATGTTTTAGTTGTTGCTAAGTAGTGCTTACATTAGTCAAGGACTTTTCAGCTTCCCGTGCTCTGCCAGGTGCACAAGAAGCTGGGAGGGGGCACAGCCAGGACAGCTGACCCAAACTGGCCAAAAGGGTATTCCATACCGTATGACATCATGCTCAGTATAGAAAATGGGGGGCAGCGATCAGTGCTTGGGAACTGGCTGGGGTCAGTTGGCAGGTGGTGAGTGGTTGCATTACTTGTTTTTCCTGGGTTTTGTTCCTTTTCTTGTTGTTTTCATTTTCACCACTTTTTAAATTATTACTATTTATTTTATTTCAATTATTAAACTGTTCTTATCTCAACCCACAAGTTTTCTTACTTTTACCCTTCCAATTCTCTCCCCCATTCCACGGGGCAGTGGTAGGGTGAGTGAGTGAGTGCATGGTGCTGAGTTGCCAGCTGGGGTTAAACCATGACAAACAGAATTACTGTTCTTGTGAATATAGTTTGTATGGAATAATGTTGTGTTAGCTTGTCTGATCCATTTTGCCAAGGGCAATATGTGCATTGAAATTAATTACTTTTAATGGAGCGGCCTGGGTGCAGTTCAAAGAGTTCAGTGTTTCCACGTTATCAGTTGAATAAATTCCACACTCTTATATTTTTGTCCAGCACCCATAGTGGCATTGTCATGAACACTTCAGGGTAGTGTAGTGCCCTGCCTTCCACTTCTGAATGTTGTGACTCTTGACACAAGAGTCTTGTGACCTCTTGGGAAAGACGTGAAAATTCACAAGAATGGCTACTGTTGTATAATAGTAGTTGAAACATCTCTGCTAATTCAGATGCATACTGGTAATTCAAATGAAACAAAAATACTTTAGACTATGCTAGCTGTTAAACTTGATGAAACCGTAGCATATACCGAGCAATTTTTGGAATTCATATAAGCCATGTGGTATATGCTTGTGCAGGATAATGAGGGGTCAGTGGAGAACTCGGCATGCTTCTTGTTTGCTGATGTAATTAGTATCCATAATGTTTTATGCTAATATTGTTGGTGAGGATTTAATATACTAGAGCTTATTAATAGATATGACATCAGATCATCCTTCTGCCTGCCCCTGCATCAACACTTTTTTCACAGCAAATGTAGAACCAGATGTTCTGGGAAATAATGTATCTATAGATAATGAGGATGCCTTGAGGGTATGGTTAAAGATTACTGGATTTGACTGAATGCAACTTTTGTTCTTCCTCTAGTTACCTTTGAAATAAATGGTGCTAGATCTGGTTAATGACCACCAATTTAATTAATACCACAGATTTATTGAAATGGTTAGATTTGTTTAAAAAAAAAAAAAAAATCACTGGGCTTACCTCATCCTGGAGTCCTATGGTATGTTTTTATATTTATGCTGTGTGAAGTTAGTAAACTTACTTAAAACTTGGTAAATGTATAATGATGGTATTGAAGAATTTGAAAACAGAGCATTGGTCCACATCTATCTGTTTGGTTAAATAAATTACAAGGGTAGTTTTCTCGAAGTAATAATATGATATCCATAAGAAAGAAAGAAAATTATATTTCACAGTTGCTCCTTTTCTAAATTAAAACCTAGATTATTGTCATGCAACCTTTTCCTGAGAAGCTTATTAACAACAAATATTAGCAAGCTAGTACTTCGTTGAACAAATAATACTGTGTTATAATACATTATAACTGTTTAGAAGGAAATATTCACTTAAATTAGCTTAGTTTTATTGTTAATTTTTCTTACTAAAATATGTTTGTACTGGTTACAGCCAAACTATTAGAAACACTGTTTCCTTTGTCCTTTTTCATATCCAAAAACCTCTTTGTTAATCCAAACAGAAATTAAAACCCTTGCTTATTTCCTTGTTCTGTCTTACTCTAATATTACTAGAGGACACACAGAACTGCTGAATTGCTACTTTTATACTGTCTTTTGAAAATGTAATATCTTAGTTTGAGTAGTTATTAATATCAACAACAGCTATTTTTTTTTTCCTTTATATAATTCCACATGGTCAGTCATTTAAGTCCATTAACATATCAGCTAAGGTATGTTTTTGGGCCCATGGTGTTTATTGCAACATCAAGCTTGTTAAACTAAGTCAAAATGTCAAGATATTTTCCAGCAAGAAAAAATTGAGCAGCTTTTTCTTCTGAATGAAATTAGTTTGAAAATGCATTTTTAACTGGTCATCCTAAATACAAAATGTATAGTAAAGTAATTACTCTATTAAGTGCGTTACTTTATTTTTCTGATATACGCTGATTACTTGTAAACTTATTTTCCAAGATGAAAATTTATTTAATTTTATAACATCTTTTTTCAGGTCTCTGACTTCGGAGGAACAATAGATTTTTGCCTACTGGAAGAATGCAGTGAAACTGCCAATATTTGTAGCTGGAATTATAAATTTAATATTCAACTTTAGTGTTACTAATTTCTTACTAAGTAGTACCTCAAAGTAGAAGAAAAATGTATGGAAGTGCAAGAACAATCAGCAACTTAGAAGGAAGTCCCTCCAGGTCTCCTCGTTTGCCAAGATCTCCTCGCCTGGGCCATAGGCGAACAAATAGTGGAGGAGGAGGAGGAACGGGGAAGACATTATCAATGGAGAACATCCAGTCCCTTAATGCAGCCTATGCAACATCTGGACCAATGTATCTGAGTGACCATGAAGGTGTAGCTTCTACTACTTTCCCAAAGGGCACAATGACTCTTGGAAGGGCTACAAATCGAGCTGTGTATGGTGGTCGAGTCACAGCTATGGGGAGCAGTCCTAATATTGCTTCAGCTGGACTTTCACACACAGATGTCCTTTCTTATACTGATCAGCACGGAGGTCTGACCACGTCTTCACACCATCACCACCATCAGGTTCCTTCTATGCTGAGACAGGTTAGAGATAGTACCATGTTAGACCTGCAGGCTCAGCTTAAGGAACTACAGAGGGAGAATGATCTTCTCAGAAAAGAACTAGACATTAAGGACAGCAAGCTGGGATCCTCCATGAATAGTATCAAAACTTTCTGGAGTCCTGAGCTAAAGAAAGAAAGAGTATTGAGGAAAGAAGAAGCAGCCAGAATGTCAGTTCTTAAAGAACAAATGAGAGTTTCCCATGAAGAAAATCAGGTAAGTAATTCTGAAAGTTTCTGTTGATTTACAGCTAAGTACTTGATGTTTTGCTTATGGTAGTGTATCCTATGCTGGAACAAGTTTGACATTTACAACAGAAATTGTATGTCTTGATCTATCTGCCTCTGGCTGCTAAACAGTAGGAAAGCACATTAATAAGAATCTGAATGCAGGTTGTGATTTCCTTCATGCAGCATTCTTTCACATTATAGCTGAAGAGGATGATTTTTTTGTCACTACCTGTTTTCTTATTTTTGAGATCAGTGCTTTTTTGCAGCAACAGTGTAAATATACTCAACAACCTTTGAACAGGTAAATGAACCACTTCTGCAAAAGTATAAATAGACATCTGGAGGTGTATTTTGTATGAGCTGTATAGGGATTTAGCTGCCCAGTTTTTTAAAGTTAGAAGAAGATATGATATTAAATCCCCATATGCAACCTTCTGTAATTCTGTGTTACAGAATGAAGTTGAAATTGTTTTTTCAGCAATGTTTCAGAGACCTGTCACTTAAAGAAGGAGCATCTTGTAAATATGTATTTCAAATAATTCTATTCACAACATAACATTCTTTTCCCAAAGTTATAAAAAGATTAAAGTATTTTAATCTGGATGAATAAAGCTATAAGGTCAAGCTTTGAGACTATGCTATTTCACAAAGCTATACAAAACAGTGGCACAGAATAGATCAAAAAAATTCTTGTATTGCTGTCACCACGCACTTCTTGGCTGTTGGTCTTATTTTAAAGCTGCTTCTTTTTAGACCATCTGTTAACTTTCCCCAGACAAAAACACAATCCTGTGTTTCTTTCACTTCCAGACTCCCAATCTAAACTCCTTCGCTGGCAGGCAGCAACTACTGAAATTTTTAATTTACTTCCGAGTTTGTGATCATCAGTGCTTCTCACCAAAACTTTCCACCTCTTAGGCATGTCATGAACCTAAATATCTATGGAACTAACAAGTCTGATACCAGTTACTTCAGTGGGAAACTGATTGGGTCTTGATCAGGAATTCAGTACAGTGAATTAATTTATTATTTTCTTGTATACCTTGTGTATCCAGACTGACAGTTACTGAATATTTATTTATAGTAGGTGCACTAGGAGGCTGGTAGAACCAATACTATCAAAAACATGTTTGGTGGAGGTTCTGCTATTCAAAAGCCTTATTGGTTAGACATTCTAATCTTGATAGTTAGTGTCACTTTAGCAGTAGGGGGAATATTCTAATACACTCTGTTTTGGTAGCCTTTCTCATAGAAAGGTCACATTAATATCTTATATTGGCATTTGGAATCTGAATCTGGCATTTAGACTTTGTCACCTGCCAAAGTGGTTATGTTTGTGGTTCTTCCCTCCCCCCCCAAGCTATTTCCTCATCTTGAGGGGAAGTAAATTAGTCACTCTGTTATGAATCCTCCTATTCATTCATTCATTTTGTAGAAAATTATATCTTTTTATTTTTAACAATACTCTTATTTTCTTGTAAGGGTGAACCTAACAAAAGCCGAAAAGAATGTATTTTACTCTATCTATATATTTAACATGAATCCTTACTCTGTGATAAAATGACATAAAGACTGAGTAGCCCAGTATGCCATTGCTAATAATGTCCAAAAGTTTATAGAATGGACCTAGTATACAGTGATATCTCTACCAAGTACTGTTTATGATCCAGCTGCAGTTTGTGTGCTTAATAACTCTCAGTGGACTTTTCTTTGAATTAAGCCAGTTGCTTTTGGACCTGTGTAAAATTCTAGTGTCCACAACCTCTTATGACGGTGAATCCCACAGCTTAACATGTCATGTGAAGAACCACTGCTTTTCATTTGTTTTTTCACTGGACTTTGGCTGCTTTTACTAGGACTTCCTGTTCCTTGTACTGGAAGAAACATTAAATAGTTGATGTCTAGTGCCGGTCTTAGTGCCACCTGTCATTTTATAGGACACCCTCATCACATCCTGTCCCTCAGCTGTTTTCCAGACAGGAGAATCTTAGCATGTGTGATAGTTCCTTTCATGAAACTCTGGCATTTCTTTGATTCTTCTCTGAATCTTTTTCAAACCTATTACATTTTTTTTTTGAGGTGGGGAGACCAAAATGGATCATGTTTTTTATAATACAGGAGTAAAATGAGTTATGCATTGATGTTATAGACATACAGAATAAAAGGGCAAACACTATCCTAACAATTCCCAACACTCAGTTTTTGTTCTTTCTAGCTTTGGATGACCTGTTCTTTACTGCTACTGAGTACTGAGCTAATATTTTAATGGAAATATTTGTCACAGCTGAAGAATCTCACCAGTGGTTATAATCATTTTCAATCCAGGTGGGATTATTTTCACTTGTGTATAACTTCACATTTATCTCCCTGAATTTCATCGGCCAGCCCTTGCCTAGTTGCTTAGTCTTATAAAATCCTTCTTTGCATTTGGCTTTTGTCTTTACCACCCTGAATAACCTAGTATCATGAGGAAAATCAGTCATCTTACTGTTCACCCTGTTCTCTGCGTTGCATAGGATGTCAGACAGCACAAAGCCCAGCCACAGGTTCCAGCAAAACTTCATAGGGGCCTTCTGTTGGGTTTATGACTTGACCATGTGTTTCTGCTATTTCCTCTTCTGTAATCAAATATTTATGCATGAAAGGGCCATCCCTCTTATCTAATTGCTGCTTAGTTTTCTTGTAAGCATTTGGAGAGGAGCTTTTCTGAAGGAATAGCTTTGGAAGTCCAACCTGGCTGTGTCAGCTAGTTTGTCAGTCTTACTTATCCATGTGATTATTGATTCTTTCAAACAACTAATTTCGATTAAAATTATCAAAAAGCTGTAATTTTAAAGACAAAAAAAGTGATGCCATCTATCACATCTACACTAAAAAGTGATAGATCTGTCCTTGTGTGTCTGAGGGTTACTGGCTTATGAAACTTCCTTTCTTAAAAACGGAGATGTTTCTTATGGGAACACTAAAAGCTGTTTTCAGATGGGCTGTGCGTGACAAAATTGACACTGAATGGGGCCCTTAGTTTCACAGCCAACTTTGGGAACTCCCAGGAGACTGGAGAAGGGCAAATCTAG